CAGCCCGTCCACGAAGTCGGTGAACTTCTTCCCGAGGAACTCCCCTCCTCGGTCCGAGCGCAACATCAGCACCGACTTCTTCGTCTGCCTCTCCACCAACACCAGCCACTTCTGGAACTCCAGCAGCACATCCGACTTCTTGGCGACCGGCCTTACCCACCCGAAGCGGGTCTTGCGATCCTTCAGCAGCAGGAAGTACAAGCTGCCGTCCTTGGCAGCCACGCGGAACGGCCCGCACAGGTCGATGTGCACGACGGCCAGCACGTCGTCGGCGTCGGAGCCTTGGTCGGGGAAGGTGTGCCGCGCCAGCTTCCCGCCGACGCACGAGACACACGGGGAGTCGGCGCCCGTCGCCGACTTGAGGTCCAGCCCAATGGCGACCTCGTTCTTCGCCGAGCTCCGTATGGTGTCCATGCCGACATGTGCAAGCCTCGCATGCATTCGGTCCGGCGTCGACTTCGTCTTCGAGACGATCGCCCGCAGGGCCACAACCTCCGGCGTGGTCGACGTCGACCTCGTTGAGCAGGGACGCAGGTCGGTGCAGAGGACACGCCCGGAGTACGTCGCCCGACCGAGCACCTCTCCCGTTGCCGAGACGAGCAGCATCCCGTCGCCGTCCTCTTGCAGCTTCACGCCGTGCTCCTTCAGCTGGCCGGACGACAGCAAGTTCGCCCGCACACCCGGGACGTACAGCACGTCGGGGATGAGCACCTGCTTCCCGGCCTCCCCTTGCAGAGCGACAGTGCCGCAGCCCTGGACGTCCTGCAGTGCCCATTGAAGCCGCGCACGTGCTTGATGGAGCCGCTCGGCTGCAGGTCGACGAAGACTTCCTTCGTCCCCATCAGGTGGTGGGAGCAACCGCTGTCGAGCAGGACCACCGCCGGGTTCCCCTGCACAGCTGCCGCCACCGCCTGGAATTCCTCCTCGGCCTCTGGCGCCAGCGAGACGGTCGGCTCCACGACGCCGACCAGCGAGCACGTCGCCGTCTTGTCGTCCCGCCCCTTGCCGCCTGCAGAGGAGTCGGCGTCCTTCGCCGAGGTCGACGTCGTCGACTACTTCTCCTTGCGCGGCTTGTTTCCTCCTCAACGAGGACGACGACTGCCAGACCTCCCGCGGAGAGGTGGCCGGGGTCGCCGCACAGCCAGCACTCCCGTCGTCGACCTCCTCCTCCTCGACCGCTGTCTTTGGTCGACTTCTTCTTGTCGACCTCCTTGGCCGGCTTCCAGCCACTGCTACCGCCACCGCCGGACTGTCCCGCTGCCTCGGTCGACCTCCTTGCTTCGCCGGGGCGACGAAGTTTGCCTGCGCCAAGAGCTCCTGTGGCCGCTCAACCTCCTGCATCGCCTCATCCTGCAGGATGTACGAGGTCAGATTGTCCTCGTTGAGCGTCGTCCTCGTGCTCGGTGCCATTGACAGCCGCTTCAGGAGGTTGTAGCTGCTCGAGAGTCCCTGCATAACGTGGGTGACGTACGACGCCGTCGAGTACTGCGCGCCGGCCATCCTGATGGTGGCGAGAATTCGCCGGGCCCGGTTGCAGTAGTCGGTCATCGTCTCCTCGTCGCCCATACGCAGATTAGTCAGCTGCCCCTCCAGCTGGGCGATGAACAAGTCGTCGGTGACTTGGTAGGTCGACTCGATGAAGTGCCACGCCCGGTGGCCGGCGTCGAGGTACTCTCGGCACCATTTCAAAGCGATCTGCACGCCTGGCGAGCAGCACCGCGAGATGACCGTGAAGGTCAACAGCTGCACGGCGCGAAACTCTGTTCGTAAGTCGGCGTGGTGCTCCTCCGGCGTCGCCACGGTCCCTCGGGCGAAGCCGATCAGCCCAGCCATCTCCAGCTGGGGCTCGATAGCTTCCTTCCAGGTGAGAATGTCTGGTCGACCAACGAGCGGCGGGGTGACCAAGATCCTGTCCGGCGTGAACTTGAAGTAGCCGTAGCTCGGTGCAATCCCGCCCGTCGTCACCTGGGTCGCCGACATCGGCGACAATCCGCTTCGTCGTCCTCCGACGTCGCCCTGTGAGGTGCCTGCAGCCGCCGTCGACCGCATCCCTCGCGTTTGAACGCCGCCGACTTCATCGGCGTGTATCACACCTCTCTGCATCGACATGCCTCCCGCACTGCTGCCGACCTGGTCACCACCGGCGTTGACGCCCACGTCGACGCCGACCTCTGTGTTCACCGGTCGAGGAGACGCCGGTCGAGAAGGGGGATGCTCCGACGCCCACATGGTGCGGAGTCCAGCCTCGACGACCGCCCAGGGTATCGTCCCATACTCCTGGGCCTCATGGCGTCTCCTCGCATCCTCCAGCCGTCCCTCCAGGGTGTCCATCACCTTGGCGTCACCTACGCGCACGCTAGGGACTGCACGGCTGCCGGCCTACGAACAACTTAGGTAAGTGACCTCTACGTCGACCTGACTGAAAGGTAAGTCGTGTATCGTCCACGCTCACCGCACCATGTGGAGATAACTACTACAACGGGAGCTAGACTACGGGCTAGGCACGGGTGCTTGTGTGATCTCTGCGTTCGTTGGTCCTTAGTCGTTTTCCTAGTGCACACACAGCTTGCTAATTCACGGGGAGAATTGGCAAGAGTTTCACAAGAGAAAGTTGACAACAATAGTACAATGAAGTTGGCATGGCAAGACTACATCAGAGCTAGCATTCAGGTCGGTCGACTGCCAGCACAGCATGGTCGACCGCGTTCCAGCACGACTTGGTCGACCACGCTCCAGCAGTGCAAAGTCGACAGCGTGCCAACGCTGCAGGTTGACGGCGTGCCAGCGTTGCTCCCGTAGAACAGCAGCGCACCTACTTCGCAGGTGCTCGTTGATGATTGGAGGGCTAAGCCTCGTCACCTGAACAGCGCACGCACCAAGTCATCTTCGTGCTGACGGCTCCACCTGATCCGCCACGTCGACCTCGGGATACTACCACCGAGGTCGGACTCGCCAACTTCGCCTGGGCGACCGTCGCACTCCTTCGCAGAACCTCGTCACCCAGGTATCCTGGTCGACCGGGCAACCATGTCGACCAGCTGCTCCTGTATGTGCTCGTCGACCTCCCAAGTCGACGACCACACCAAGTCGACCTCACCAGGTCGGCCACTCCTCTGGTCGACCAGCTCCAGGTCGACGTCACTCCTGGTCGACCAGCTCCACGTCGACCAGTGCAGTTGTCAGCCGACCACCCAAGTCGGCTACCCAAAGTCGGCGTCACCAAGTCGACGCCCCTTCTACGTCGGCGCCGACTTCCAGACTGACCTCTTGAAGTCGGCAAGTCGGCGCCGACTTGCAAAGTCGGTGACCTTGCAAGTCGGTGACCTTGCAAGTCGGCGCCGACTTCCAGGGGTCGACGTGCCACATCGCCGACCACCAGTTGAAGTCGGCCGCCGGCTTCCCAAGTCGGCGGCATTGCAGTGGCCCCGTGCAAGTCGACCAACCCCGTCGACCAGCTCGCCCAAGTCGGCGTCGCCCACTGCTGCAAGTCGGCTGTACCTTCCGTACACCCCACCACGAAGTCGGCTCCGCCCAAGCGTGGACGGGGCCAACACACAACTCCCGTTGACAAATGCCGCCCATGCTGACGCAAGCCCGTTGTCGCCAGCTGCCGAGGATCTCCCGAAAACCTTGCGCACATGTTGACGTGTGCCACCGACGTCAACTTGTCGCATAAGGACGATCCCGAAATCGTCGCGCGGCCGTTAACTCAGGTCCGCCGGCGTCAACAACCACACACAGTGTCGACGTCGATGCTGTTCATGCAGATGCCGACGCAGGCCCGCTGACGCCAGCTGCCACACGAATCAAGCTCCGAAATTGTCGGAAATCGCAGCGGAAATTACCCACTTTAATGTCGCGATAGCTACTGCTGCCCGTTGCCCGGGGGGAGGGAGGTCACGGTCGATCCGTTCGAGGCAAGGATCTGGCGGTGCCGACGGAGTGCCCTGTAAAACTATGGCCGCAAGGAGCAACTAACTCGTTCTCCTAGCCGACCTAAGCAACTCCTGGACCCTAAGGCATACTTCCTCGTCTCCCCCCCCCCCCCCCCCCCCCTCCCCCCTCCCTCACGAGTGGTAATACACTCTAAAAAGCGGGGTAGGCTAGGAAAGTAGCTTTGATACCAGATGTTATAAATGAACTTGCAGAGTGCGCAGAATATCGAATAACGAGAATGAGAACTATCGAATGACGATACAATGAAAGAAGCGAGGCCTAAATAGGGGAAAATCTAGCTAGGCGGGGAGGTGGGGAAAGGTTGGCTCGCGAAGGGTCGCGATTGGTGCGGAGGCGGCTCGGTGAGGTTTGGATGCGAAATTGTAGGCCGAACTAGCTGGTCGCGTGGCCCTTGGGATGACCTCGCTATCGAGTGCCTCAATAAGGACTTGTAAATCCTTAGAGAGGTGCTGTGAACGTTGTTTGACGGGACAACTTCAGTTGCAATCTAATTTAGCCAGTGCGGTTCGCAAATGCAATTCATCGACGGTCTGCAGCGGAAGAAGCTGAGGGATCGATATCTGCCTACGGTCAGAAAATAATAAACCCCATCTGGATGGCATGCGATTAGGGGAGCCTCAACCCTAAACGGGCAGCCGCATGGTGTTGCCCGAAAGGATTGCATTTGCAAACCCGCACTGGGAAAATGAGATCGCAGTTTGAATTGACGGTTGTTTGACCAATGGCTCCTCCGTGCCACATGCAAAACCACGGTTATTCCCCTTGGGCCCCCTCCGATTGGGCTTTGATTTCTGGTTTGGAGCATTTCACTTGCCAGAACTTGAATTGCTATTCGTCGGCCAGTCAGTGGCGTCCGATATCAACCTATGGTACTACGCTCGGAAATTCAGGTGGCTTTGGGTTTTCTATCACCAGTCAGGCCTGGCAGCATACTCCGCCTACTTCGCCCGCCACCATGATCTCCTTGGTTGAATCGAAGGAGAGTTGACAGTAGTACTTGCCACTAACTAACTTCGTTCTCTTTCCAGCCTTATTCAACGAACATGGCTCCTTATAATGTAAGGCTTCAGCATTTTGTCACTCCGTATGCCCTCCTCTACGTATCTGTTCTGTCATGTCTTCGACATCCTTTTTGTCCAATGGCTCTTTGCCCTTCCAGTAGTTTTTGGATCGTTTTCAACCTGGACCTGCTTTATTTTACTCCTGTTGCCGCTTTCTGGTACTTGAGGAACGGGAGGAAGATGGAACCATTGCCTTTTTCTCGTGATCGGGTGTCCTTTTGTCATCGCCTCTGCGGTGCGTGCAGGCGAGCCATCTCCTCCTGGAGGAGCCAATCCGGTTGGCGTCCATTCTCGAGTCCTCGTCGTACCATGTGCGTTCCCCCCGTCACCTGGCTTTTCCCTTAACACCCCCTTGCAGTGTCGCATTTCTCTTAGCGACTGATCGTTGATTTCAGGCTCGATTGTTCGATGGCCTCGGCGGTCATTGATGACAATTGATATGGAATACCGAGAATTATTGAAAACAACCCAACCCCCACACACGCACACGCGCGCGCGCGCGCACACACAAACTCACGCGCATCATTTGGAACTTTTCTGCATCGTCACCTGTGTGTTCCCGATGTCGATCATGCTCCGCAGAAATCGCTGCCATGTCTGACCAAGATCGTTGCGACCGTTGGTGGGACGAGCCAGAGCGTTGAGGTGCTGGAAGGGCTGCTGGAAGCCGGCATGAACGGTACGGACCTCTCGCTCCGCACTGCCGTCGTCCTTCTCCTTGCTGGCTCCATCAAGCCTCGTCATCTCGCTCCCTTTCCCCTCGTGTTGCGTTGGTTCCCGTGCTCGCAGTCGCGCGATTCGACTTCTCGCATGGGGACTCGGACTATCACCAAACCACTCTGGACAACCTTCGCGCGGCCATGCGCAAGACAAAGAAGCTCTGTGCGGTAAGCCTCCCTCGCGCCCACTTTTCCCACGGAGCCGCGTTCACACTCTCCTCGCCCCCGCTGAGGCCAGCACGCACGCACTTAGTCACACACCTTACCTTACCTTCTACAGTGTTGCTTGTGTCACCCATGCGCCACTCCACTCGACCCTCGTGTGTGCCTCTTTTCTCAATGCCGGAAATGCGACGTGTGGTGTCCGCGTTCCTTTGGATCTTTCTTACCCTCTTCCTTTCTCCCTCCCTGCCAACGTCGCCTGTCACCATCGTGTGTGATCCTCGTGTGTGATCGTTATGTGCGGCCTTCGTGTGGCCGTCTTGGTTCACTGCGCCGTGCGGGGTGCGGTGGCGTGGCTCCCAGGTGATGTTTGACACGATGGGGCCGGAGATCACCATCCACAACGCGTCGGGCAGCCCCATCTCGCTCACGGCCGGCGACTCCATCACCATCACGCCCAGCCCCTCCGCCGCGCCCATCTCCTCGCAGCTGCTCCCCATCAACTTCAAGGGCCTCGCCAAGGTATGTGTGCTTCGCCAAGGTATGCCTCGCCAAGGTATGTGTGCCTCGCCAAGGTATGTGTGCTTCGCCAAGGTAGGTGGGCTTCGCCAAGGTAGGTGGGCTTCGCCAAGGTAGGTGGGCTTCGCCAAGGTAGGTGGGCTTCGCCAAGGTAGGTGGGCTTCGCCAAGGTAGGTGGGCTTCGCCAAGGTAGGTGGGCTTCGCCAAGGTAGGTGGGCTTCGCCAAGGTATGCCTTGCTTTCACTTGCTGCAAGCCCCACCCTTAACCCTTCCGCCCAACGGCGCTCCCACTCGCACCCACCTTCTCCCACGTGCAACCGCCCTTGCACACACGTACATGTGCCCATGCATTCCGCCACTTCCGTTGCAAACGCACTCTCACTGCACGCTGTCTCTGTGGCGCCGCGTGCAGGCAGTGAAGCCGGGAGATGAGATCTTTGTGGGGCAGTACCTGTTCACGGGCAGCGAAACCACCTCCGTCTGGCTCGAGGTGCACCCCCTCCGCCCTTGCTCTCTCTCACTCTCGCCACCTCCCTAGCCACGTTCTTGTCCTCGTCCTCGCCCTCGCCCTGCCCTCCCCTTTCCCTGGACCTCGCATGCACTCCCTCTGATTCTCGTTTTCCTGAACCTTGCATGCACTCCCTCTGATGTGCCCACGTCTGCTCTGCTCTGCTGCCACTGTGCCTTGCAAGTCCCGGTGTGCAAAGTCATTCATCCTCACCTTGTGTTGCCCATGTGCCGCCATGCTACCAGGTCCACGAGACTAAGGGCGCTGATGTGATCTGCTTCGTCAAGAACAGTGCCACGCTGGCGGGCACTGTGTTCACGGCCCACGTGGCACAGGTTGGTGATTTCGCCTATAGCGTTGCTGCACATCCCATTCCCATCCCCATCTCTTTCCCGTCCCTTCCCCCGTCCCCATCCCAATTCCTCGTCTTTTGCTTCAATTTACAGGATTTGTAGTTCTTCTCCTACTTGCATCCTCACCATCCTCTCTCTACTCCCCTCTACCCACTCCCCACTCCCCACCATTCCGCACTTCCTCCAGCCTCTCTCTCCTCCCTCACTCCGTTCCCTAGTTGTCCTCTCATCTCCACGCCCCTCGTGTCACCCGTGTCGTCCCCCCATCACCCGCACCCCTGGGCGGCACAGGTGCGCATAGACCTGCCGACGCTGACGGAGGAGGACAAGCGGCTGATTGCCACGTGGGGGCAGCGCAACAGCATCGACATCATCTCCCTCTCCTTCACACGCCATGCTGACGACGTCCGCCAGGTGCTCTGCTGCTGCTGCTTCAGGTGCTTCTTTTAAGTGTTGTCTTGGATGCTGCCTCGCATGCTGCCTCAGGTGCTACTTCAGGTGCTGCCTCAGGTGCTACCTCAGGTGCTGTCTCAATTGCTACTTCATGTCTTGTCTCAGGGTTTATCTTGAGTGCTGCCTCGGATGCTGTCTCAGGCGCTGTCTCATGTGCTCTCAGGTGCTGCATCATTCTCTGTCATGGTGCTGTCGCAGGTCCCCCTTGCGTGCACATCTTCGACACTGTCCTTTTTGCCTTTAGCTCTACTCCTACTCATGTGTTTGTGGGCCTGGGTCTGTTCTTCTTGCCCTCTGATACCATCCTGTTTCATTCTCTGTCACGTGAGCAGGCCCGAGCGCTGCTGTCGAAGCTGGGCGATCTCTCTCAGACGCAGATCTATGCCAAGATTGAAAACATGGAGGTCAGCTGCACCCACCATCCCAGCCCTGCTAACTCCCATTTCTCACTCACCCTCGCTCTCTCCCATGCCATCCCACGCCCCCCCCACATTTCACCCTTTGGTTTGTGTTTACGGCTGATACTCTTGTTGCTCGTTCACTGTGTCTCGGTGCCGGGTGCGCGGTTGTGTTGTGTGTGAGCAGGGATTGAAGCACTTTGACGAGATTCTTCAGGAGGCAGACGGCATCATCCTCTCACGAGGCGATTTGGGCATTGACCTCCCAGCAGAGAAGGTGAGTAAGCGATTCCAGTCACAGCCTCGAGAGCATTGCGCACTAATGTGGCTCCCCACCCGCTTGATCACAGTAAGAATCAGAGTGCACCCCAGCACCCCTGCCCTCAACACACCTACCCTCAGCACCTATACCATTGTGTCTTCCACCCTCAGCTCCCCGAAGTGGTGATTAATTGCTCCCCAACGCTCGTCACGTATCTCTCTATCTCTTGCATCCTTGTCGCATGTGCCACGGCCTGCCTGCTTTGATCCCCGTGGTGCGGGGGGGAGCGCAGGTGTTTCTGTTTCAGAAGGCGGCCATCTTCAAGTGCAACATGGCGGGCAAGCCATCCATCATCACGCGTGTCGTCGACACCATGACAGACACGCCGCGCCCCACCAGAGCCGAGGCCACCGACGTTGCCAACGCCGTGCTTGATGGTCCGTGCACCCACCATGCACCCCGTATCGTACTTCAGTGTGCCGATCAAAGTGGAATAGTGGCCACATGCTGCTGTCAAACGCACATGTTTTTTTGTTTTTTGTTGGAACTGGTGTATAGTCTCCCCCACACACCACGTTTGTGGTTTTGCTGCTGTGCTGTGTGCGGTGTGGTGTGCAAGAGCAGGCACGCACACGGTGCTGCTGGGAGCGGAGACGCTGCGAGGGCTGTACCCCGTGGAGACCGTCATGACCGTGCGCAAGATCTGCGCTGAGGTACCATGCCGTGCTGCATGCTTCCTTCTCCCCCCGTCCTTCTCTCGCTACGGCAATTTCTCAGGTGCATGCACGCTGACACACACACATTCACACATGTACTATCAACCTTCCTTGTTTACCCCCCCTTCCCGCGCATGCATGGGCCAGGCGGAGAAGGTGTACAACCAGCAGCTCTACTTCAAGAAGACGGTCAAATACGTGGGCGAGCCCATGAGCCACATCGAATCCATCTGCTCCTCTGCAGTATGCGCACTCCCTTTTGCACCGCGCCACCTTGTTGCCAAGCGCACTCACATAGCACATGCATGCGCGTGCGTGGTGCTTGTCGTTGCACCTCAGACCTGTGCTGTGTGCTGGGTCCCAACGTAACGCGCCCTGTTTGGACCACTGCTGCTGCTGCAAATGGCCCTCTCCATGTTTCACCCGCTCGCTGGAGTTGTGTCGTGTGGTTGTGCCCTTTGGTTTTGTGGTGCTGGTCCCACCAGGTGCGTGCGGCAGAGAAGGTGCGCGCGTCAACCATCGTGGTCTTCACGTCGTCAGGCCGCACAGCTAGGTCAGCCCTGCACTCCAGTGTGCTGCCCCACACGCATCAACAACCACGTGTACCGCATCATGCATCACACCACACCATTGCCCTGTCACGCACTTCAGAACTCTCGCATGGCGTGTGGGTTGGCGAGTACTTGTGTTGTTCTGACTGGGCACTGTGCTGGGTGCATGGCAGGCTGGTGGCCAAGTACAAGCCCACGATGCCCACGCTGGTGGTGGTGGTGCCGCGCCTCAGCACCAACCAGCTCAAGTGGAGCTTCACTGGTGCCTTCCAGGCCCGCCAGTGCCTCGCCATTCGAGGCCTCTTCCCCATGCTCGCCGACCCACGCAACCCGGTACCGCCCACCCTGCATGCCCCGCTGCACTCCTGCTTCCCTGCTCTGTTTTCCCATCCATGCTGTCAGACCCCTGTTCCTGTGCTCCCTTCTTTATAGGTCCTCTTTTCTTGCTCAACGTCCTTACCCAGCTGCGTGATTTCTCCTCCCACCACCTGTGTGATGCTGTGCATGCGTGTGGCAGTCGGCGAGCAACATCACGACGAACGAGACGGTGCTGAAGATGGCGATGGAGAAGGGCAGGGAGATGGGCCTCATGCGCGCTCATGACCGCGTCGTCGTCGTGCAAAAGCTCGGCGACTCCTTTGTTGTCAAGATCCTTGAGATTGGCACCTAACCATGATGTTGCTGCTTAGGTATCACTGTAGCGTTAGCCTACGCGCACATCCATCCCTTGTAAGCGGTATGTTCTTAGTGTTATTAGAAGCTGGGCCAGCCCCAGCATCTTCCCTCAGAGTTACCCGAATTAGTCCGGTACGCACGAATTTCAATGAATTTATGGAAAATAATAAACCCACGTGATTATATTAGTATGCATGATAATAATAAACCCATTCCAGCTTACCGTAGTATGCATCACTGTATTGCAATTCTGAGAAACAAATGGGCTTGTACTTGTTGGTTCCCTTATGCAGTATGCTGCTTTTGCTGTGTGAGCTGTTCGGTCATTGCGGGGATCTGTTCCTGCGATGTGTGGCGCGAAACCCCATACATCAGGGCAACGGTCGCACACGTCGCACAGACCTACGTACACACGAAACAGCCAAGACAGTGCATTCCCACACCATTCCAGCTTACCGTAGTTAGGAAATTTGTGAAGGTTTTTGGGATCTTGTTCGTGTACCAGGTCAACATGTTCTTAGTCGACTGGTTCTATAGCGTTTTAGCTACGCTCGGTCTATGGCAGAAAGAGGCGAAGATATTGTTTTTGGGGTTAGATAATGCCGGGAAAACCACCTTGCTGCATATGTTGAAAGATGAGGTGAGTTAGTGGAGCTGCTTAAATCTATTGGTGATCACGGGAGAATTTTCTCAATGACGTTTGATTCCATTTTTTGATTGCATGATGCTTAAGAAGGTGATCTCTCCATGCTGGTTGATCGGTGCAGAGACTAGCTCAGCATCAGCCAACACAGCATCCAACATCGGAAGAGCTGAGTATCGGAAAGATCAAGTTCAAGGCGTTTGATCTCGGTGGTCATCAGATAGCCCGACGCGTTTGGAAGGACTATTACGCGAAGGTCAGTGTTGCTGTTATTTATTGTTACTCGTTTCCATATATAGTCCTCCTGGTAGTCTTGAGCGATTAGCATCTGTTATCCCTGCAGGTGGATGCCATAGTGTACCTCGTCGACGCTGCCGATAAGGAGAGATTCATCGAGTCGAAGAAGGAACTCGATGGACTACTTTCAGACGACTCCCTGGCTCTCGTGCCGTTTCTGATCTTGGGAAACAAAATCGACATTCCAACTGCCGCATCCGAAGATGAGCTTCGTTATTCCCTGGGCCTGACCAACTACACGACAGGGAAGGGCAAGGTAAATTTGGCAGAGTCCAACATCAGACCGATTGAAGTCTTCATGTGCAGTGTGGTGCGTAAGATGGGATATGGTGAGGGCATTAAGTGGCTTTCGCAGTACATCAAGTAGATTTTTCTCGAAGGATGCTAAGGGGAGGGGAGGGGAGGGGGGCTTATACGGATGTCCTCTCTTTGTATGAGGGGCGCGGGCTCAAATTCATTACTTCTTACTTTCTGTAGGCAAGTAGAGAGGTTTCACTGTTGCCAACACTTGTCATCCTGCCTGTATTGGTCAGAGACGTGCCATGCAATCCATGGTCGTTAGACTAGCATTGGACTTCAGCTTGTAGCCAGTGTTGCTAGCAGCTTGAGTTACGAAATGAGATCCATTCTGCTTTACAGCATGTTCTCTTCTCATATCAGCACCCTACTGCAGCAGCAGTTATCATAACTACGGTAAAGAAATCGCATGTGCCTTTTTGGCAGCAGGCTTTCATGCCAGAAAAAAATCGTGAGAAATCCATCAACAACTTGCAAGTAAATTGCTGACTAAGTACCGTATCATGCGAGCACTGGTGAGAGTGAAGGTGTCCCCAGAGTGTGGCGTTTCGTGATGAACCTGGTAGGCGAGGGGACAAGTAGGGTAGTGGGGGGGGGGGGCACAGGACACTTGTGCAACCCATGTGACCATCCATCCAACAGACACAAGCGCTGGCAGCGATGCGCTGCTGTATTCTAGCGTAAGAAATACATGGCCTTCTTAAGAGTCAGACAGCAATACCTGAAAAAGTCACGCCAGAGAAGCTCGAAGACCAGCCAGTCCATGCTCGGTTCCTTGGCAGCTGTGGCAGTGACTGCCTTGGGTCCAGTCAACCTGAAGGAGGTGCACAGGGATGACAGCACTTGAAACCACGTGAAGCAGTTGAGCTCAAGAAACTACACCCATCCCTCTCATCCAGAGCTATGCCTGCCACATACATTCCCCTTTCCCCTCAATCTGTCCATGCACACACCTGGCCTTGGCTGCTGGCTTGCTTGCCAGCTGGTGCGCGAGAGAGCCCTCAAGCTGCAGCACTTGGTGGAAGACGCGGCGAGGGGACAGGCAGCCCATGGCGAGCCATGGAGAGATCTTGCATGAGAAGCTCGCCCCGTACTGGCCGCTGCTGGGGGCCGTGGCCTTGGAACCAGCCGCAGCAGACTTGGACTCCGCAACAAAGCCCGAGAGCTTGCGCAAAGCTTCCGCCTCCCCTCCCTGCATCGAGGTCATGTGAGCGTTCTGGCACAAACATACACACACCAAGGCTCTCTGTGAGTGCGGATAGTTCGTAAATAAAGAAAAAGGAAGGAAAGGAAGAGGCGAGGAAGAGCAAAGTGGGCATGCTGGAACCAAAATGGAGTGGCAGCCTCAGGTAATACCTGAGTGGGAGGGTGAATGGCGGAGAGACCGAGGGCCTCAAGAGAGGGAATCTCCCCCGGCTGCACGTTGCCCATGACAGGCATGGGCTTGAGGTGCTCCGGTGCTTCCACCATGTCCCGCACCTGCACCGCTCCCACAGGCACGGCCACCACAATCACAGGGTTCAACACGGGGACCGCAATCCAGGTTTGAGTTACCATGTCACAAGAGAACCAGGGGGAAAGAAAGAAAGAAAGAGTGCGAAAGAGGGAGCAAGGGTTGGGGCGTGGTGCAGACCTGGATGCGGGAGACGGCTTGACGAAAGGCGCTGTAGTTGGAGGGCATGTGGGGCAGCGCGAAGGGCAGATCGTCCACATGGAACAGCGTGCTTCCCCAATATGTCTGTGTCTCCACTCCCTCCTCCTGCCATGCCCGCCACCACACACACGAAACAACACACACGCACTCATGCACGCACACGTCCGCACACGCACATGCAAATGCACACGCACATGCAAATGCACACGCACATGCAAATGCACATGCAAGTGCACATGCACACGCACATGCACACGCACATATCCACATAAAGGATGTACGACAGGTTGAGTGTACGGTCATGGACTTGCTAAGAAAAATTTCACACATGCATATTGGCTTTTCTCTTCCCCTACTGTACGTGCTACCACTCAATCTGAATCCCACTTTCCCCCGCATCCCACTTTCCCCCGCATCCCACTTTCCCCGCATCCCACTTTCCCCGCATTCCACTTATTTCCACATCCCACTGTCCCGTGGTCCCACCTTGAGCCGGGCGGCCACAGCAGCCTCCACGCGGCTCTCCTCGGCCGTCACCTCCTGCTGCAGCACCACGGCCTGCGCCCCCACCGCGCGCGCCAGGCGCGGCAGCACGTCCTCAGGCCGCCCCACGCGCAGCACCAGGTCGCTGCCGCGCTCCCGCAGTGCCGCTCGCAGCGCCGCCACGCACTGCAGCAGGAAGCGCGCCCGGTGCGGCCCCGTGCGGTCAAACCCCGACGCCGACTTGCCTGCGCGCAGCCATGCGAGCCCAGGGGTGGCGGGCAGACGGGGGTGGGGCAGAGGTGGTGGGGGATGCATGGTGGGAGTAGGAGGAAAGAGCGATGGACGTTAGAGCTATGCAAATGTAACGCCTGTGGGGCTTACACGTAAGGGTTGAGTGCATCCGCTGCGCCTCAAACATAACCCTCGTTTTGACCCAGTGGGTAGCGAGGTGTTACAGCAAAGGCGTCAGTCAAGGGGGAGGGGCTAGGCAAGGAAGCGGCAGGTGGGAGGGGAAGGGGAGGGAGAGGGGAGGAGGGGGGGGGGGAAGGGGAAGGGCGAACCGTAGTCGCGGGGGTCGAAGCAGTAGACGGGCAGCACAGCAGCGGCGTCGTTGTGGGCGGCAGCGAGCGCCTCGTTGTCGTGCAGGCGCAGGTCGTTGCGGAACCACTGCACCACCGTCCTGTGTGCCCCCGCCGCTCCCTTGGGGTCGCTGTGGGCGTGCAGGGAGGGGTGAGAGGCACGGCATGAGCAGAGGGAGCGACACATGACTGAATGGCGCGAGAGATGGAGAGATGGGAATGAAGGAAGGCACGTGGAGAGGGGGCAAGGGAGATGAATGACACGACGTCTGACAGTGCTGCTGTCAGCTCTCCCATGCTAGGTGCTTACCAGGTGTTGCCCGCCTGCCGTGCCAGGTGCTTACCAGGTGTTGCCCGCCTGCCGTGCCAGGTGCTTACCAGGTGTTGCCCGCCTGCCGTGCCAGGTGCTTACCAGGTGTTGCCCGCCTGCCGTGCCAGGTGCATGAGATCAGGGAACGCCGTTGCTTGCTTCGCGGGGCCCACAGCTGCATGTGTGGGTGACACGTCAGCAGCCAGCCCGTTGACAGCTGCCACGTGGCAAGCCGACATGACAGGCATGGGCGCGAGGCACTTGGTCTGGAAGGACAGTGCGGGGCGCGCAGCTGACACGGCAGTCAGGCGGGCGAGAGGGGAGGCCGCAGGGCGGACGAGCGGGGCAGAGGGGGAGAGGGACGTGGGCCGGCTGGCGGGAAACAGCATTGGGGGGCCTGCAGAGGAGAGGGCAGAGGCGGAGAGGGCGAGAGAAAGAGAGGCGAAGGCAGGAACAGGGAGGGAAGGCGGGGGAGGGGCCGAGGGAGGAGCGACAGGCAGCAGAGGCACGGAGGGAGGGGTGGGAGCAACAACGGGGGAGGGGTTGTGAGGAGCGGGCGCAGTGGGCTCGGGAGCGGCGGGGGTGGCCGACGGTGAGGCGAGCGGGCGAGAGCCATTTGCAGCTGACGTGGCAATGTTGTGGTCTGACAGCATTGCCAGGTCATCAAAGTCGAGGGCGGACGGGGCGTCCGCGTTGGCGTGCGCGGGGAGGGGTGGGGGAAAGAAGGCAGCAGCTGTGGCGCGCACCACGCCTGCCATGGCGTCCCCCAGCGCCTCCGCGCCCACCCCGCACTCCGCCCGCCACGCCACACACGGCACGCCCCGCCGCGCTTCCGCTCCCATTGCCTCCTCCAACGCTGCCCGCCTCGCCTCTGCCCCCTCTCCAGATTCGCCCTCTTCCCTTCCCCCGCTCCCCGCGTTCACCACGACCGCGTGCGCCCACACGCCCGCCCCCAGCGCCCTGCTCACCGCGCGCATCACCAGCCCCTCCGCCTCGCTCCTCCCGGCGTCCCCTCCAACGAACACGATGACGTCAGCAGGGCGGGCGCTCAGCAGGTGCTGGCGGAGGCGCATGGCCGCGGCGAGGGCGTCGGCTTCGTGCGCGGGCGGGCGGAAGCAGGCGGCGGCGATGGTGGCGCGAAGGGTGTGGCGATTGACAACCCGCTTGGTTACGCGGAGAGGTTTGCCGGGCTGGGGAGGGGAAGAGGGGCGAAAATAGCGAGTGAATGCACGGGAAAGAAGATAAGAGGGAAGGAAAACTGAAGGTACAAAAACGAAAGGGCAGACGCGGAATGCGCTGGGTGACCTGAGAGAGGGACGCGTCGCGGAAAATGGCGCTGGCGGCGATGCCATTGGCGACGGCTGCGACGGCAGGCTCATCACAGCCGACCAACAGCACCGTCGCATGTCGAGTCGTCGCGTTCGCATGAAGGCGTGCGACGATGAAGCGATCGAGAGGGGACGTGGGAGCCATGCGTGGAATGCAGCTTGTTTGCGGAAGTGTTGAAAAGAAATCGCGAAGCACGAACAGTCCAGAAATGGCTAGGCTCCACCTTTGTATAGAATCCAGAAATTCGGTCGCTTTGTTGCTCACATCCATCCCAATTCCTTCGCGAATTCACACTTCTGTACGAATATATCTGGTTCCTATCAAGACTGTTTCCTACAACATCTCAATATCGGGCGATGAAGTCGCGTACATGTGTATGTTCCACGAATATTGTAAGGATTTACAAATCCTTACTGAGGCACTCGTTAGCGAGGCCATCCCGAGGGTCACGCGACGAACCTGTCTTGCCTATTTCGTCGCACCGAACCACCCACGAGTCGGCCTCCGCTCCAAACGCAACCATCACCGAGCCATCCCATCCCGAACCCCCCGCCTAGCTAGCTTTTCCCCTATTTAGGCCTCCCTACTTCATTGTTTCTTCATTCAGTAATTCAGTAATTTCCATTCTCGTTATTCGTTTTACTGCGCACTCTGCAAGTTGATTCATAACAAATATCTCTCTCAAGGGAAGTAAACCGGGTTACCATTACGTCATA